CACCATTCCAAACAAAAATTAGTTTCCCCAAAATATTTAGTTCAAAGTAAACCTAAGAAATGCAGCTGAGACTATTTAGAATCATAATTACAGGAACACGATTAAACTTAAGGAAATGTGGTCAATGTTACTTAGCAGAAACACAGTCTTAAAAAGCTAAAAACACTCTTGCTGAGAAGAAAAAGTACTCCTTCTAAGTAGTTATGAATACAGCAAAAATTTTTCCTCAAATTAGAACAGTGAAAATCAGATCAGGGCAGATACTAATTAACTAGGAAATACAGAGGAAGTTACCATAATAAAAGTAAAACAAACAAAAAAGAGAAGCTTTGAGAATATCTAGTAAAGAAAGTAACCTACAAGATCAGAATGTCAGTTTTAGCTTGCCATTTCCTCTAACCCTGTTGGCAAACACTCATCTTCATTTCTGATCTGTATGGAGTCAAAATCTCAAAATAAATAAAATAGATGATTAAGAAAAAAAAGCAAAGAATTGATCCCAACGGTTAAAGTAGAACACAGACCAATAACCAAGCAAGGAAATAAGAGTGCTCAACACAGTAATCTCAAATTAGACCCTCCTGTTAAAACTACTCAAGAACGCTAATAATCACCTCTATTGTTCAATACTGCTCTTGAATTTCTTGCTAATTTAAGAAGCGAACAATTAACAAAAGCAACAGCTTCAAATACTGCAAAACAAGAACCTGAGATATTTGAGAAAGGTGGGACTGCGAGGCTAGAAGGCCTGAGAATAACAACAAAACCTGGAACTCATGACATAATCTCAGCAGCATGGCTGGTTGTGGAAACGTACAAACAGAGAGAGCTTTGACTCATCCTGGTTATGAAATGTATTTGGGGAAACATTCTTACTCACAATAAAAAAAAATCAAGCATCTAAAAATAACCTTAGCAGAAATGCACAAGATTTATAAGAACGGTACACAGATCTTCCCAGAGACAGAAAAGAGTATTTGGCATGAAGAAATGTTAACATGTGGGATGAGGATTTCAGGGCTGAAAATAACGCTACCGTCTGAATGTCGAGCGTGAACAATTGTCCAGATAGAAGCCTAACAAAACGACCAAACTTTAAAAAGTAATTTTATTAAACTCCTTAATTACTGTAATTAATAATGACTGATGATGATTTGCTAAGTTACAGTTTTCAGCACGTGGAAGACAGCCAGACTAGACAGAGCAGGATCTCTTCCTATGTGGATCATCCATCCAGAGCCGGAGGGTGAAGCAGGAACAGTGCGTCAAGGCCTGAGTTAACGCAAACTTTTGCACCCACAGGTCACTCAAATAAAAAGAAGCACCAACAGAAGTAAAGTTCACAATGAGCTTCTGGCTCTCAGACAAGCATGTTCCCGGCCAGGTACGCCTTCCAGAGCACAGGGGCCCAAACCAGTCAAGACTTGGTCAAATTTCTGAGTTTTCTGGAGATCTGAAATATTTATCGTTTTATGATTTCAAGTAATTATTTAGTCAGAAAAAGTTTATTTGATCATAAAGTTTCCCTGTAAAAGCATCCCATTTTCTGGTGAAAATGAAGCCTAGCCACCTCAGGAAAAGTTTTCTGTGTAATTTTAAAACCCCAAGAGGCCCTAAAAAGCACGAACACCGAGAGTACAGCCTCCACGTGGAAACACGAGGGAGAGAAGCCCTGGTCGGGAGGTGATGCAGGAGACAGGGGAGGGGCTGATGGGGTGCCCAGGACGACCCTGCCACCGAGCATGGTCAGCGATCAGAGTGAACACAGACTCCACTCCCACTGCTCCCTCCGCTTCCACCTCTGCAAGGCGGCAGCAAGGGAGGCAGCCATGTCCCAGGACAGGGAGGGTCTGCACCACGTGTTCCCTAGAGGTTTACAAAGGGCCCAAGGGGTTTCTTTTAAACCATCTGGCGATGAGTAGTGCATTTAATTACTGCCATTGATGTCCATGGAGTTTCAAGTGGATGTGAATAAGAAATTGTTTCCAGTTATGGTTTTGCAATATTGGGAGGGACTTTAAAAAAAAAGATGCCTTAAAAAAATTCTAATTCTACCTAGGAGGAGGAAGAAAATCCATCTCATGGCCAGTGACCTGAGATGGGAGGGCTGCCCTGCGGCACCTTCATGCTCCCAGCCAAGGGCCCTTCCTGGGGGACACAGCGGCTTGCTCCTTAACATCGTCAGTGCCTTGTCCTGCTAGTGAAGTCACCTGTGAGCCAGGCTGGAGCAGGTGCCAGAGGCCTTTGCGCCGGCCTCCACTGGGCCTCTCCCTCCTCTATGCCCAGCTTCTCCCTGGCCAGCGAGAGGCATGGGTACAGTGTGGGTCGCCAGGCCCCTCTGACCTAGTGGGAGGAGAGGGATGTGAGGACAGGACATGCCTCTGTGGGGGGAGGGGCAATATCACCTTTGCCCTTAAACCAGTTGCTGCAGGGGTTGTATAAGGGGTAGAGAAATGTTTTGGTCCAGAGAGGCAAATTCAAAATCGGAGGAGGCCAGCCGCCATTACAGAGTTCCCGACTCCTGACCTGCGCGGCGTCACACTTCAACCCGCGTTTCAAATTAGCTGGCCTGTTATTAGGTAGCTTACAAATCTGCCAGCAGACGCAAAATCCCAGAGCAAATCTTGACAAGGATGAAGCAGCAGAAAAATCACGGAGACGTACATTCATTTACATAATCCCCGGAGGAGCATCGTCGAGGGGCTTCAAGTCGAAGAGAATTCCACTGCCAGGAACTCAGAACAAGAACGGAATCATAGCTTTCCTGAATTTTGGATAATCTTCAAATTTGTCAAGGTACCACCTGAAACAAGAAAAAAAAAACACATTAAAAGAGGTTAATTTTCTCACTGAAATATTTAAGAGATGCTAACAACAGGGACAGTATTTTTCACTGTAAAGGGATGCTGAGCTTTCTGAAAGTCGTACTAAAAATTCTGGCATCTTACAACCTTAGTTTGACTTTTGTCTGTATTGTGAATAAACATATCTGGTTATAAAGTGTGATTCACGAAGATGTAACCCATGTAATTCACCACTACAGTGTCAAGGAAAATCTCAGGCACGTGGCTGAGAAGCCGCTCTGCCTACTGGGGAGTGGTCTGCAGGCCCAGAGCATGCAGGTCTGGGGGGGCGGGGGGCGCGAGCAGTATGTCCTGAGTACCTCCTGGTGACTCCCAGAGTTTTCTCCTGTCCCCAGAGAGAACCGCTGCTTCAGACCCGGGGCCTGTGGCAAGGACGCCCGGCGACTTGCCAGGAGACTCTCACACAAACCCGGGAAAACGCAACGAGGGTCGTTGACAACTTGGCCCTGCACTTACACAACAGCTATTCTCAGTTTTGATACAAATTATACCAGCCAAGGCACACTCATGCGTTGGGGTGGAGGGGACAGCTAGCTGAGGAGGGTGGTGACTAAGTGGATGGAATAAAAATTAAAATTTGCCAAGATGAGGAAATAGGCAGAAACAGGGAGCTTCCATCAGCACAAAAGAGCACTAAACAGACTAAAAACATGATGAAAAGTAATTAGCGATCTGTTAAGATGGCAGATATATACGAAAACAACAAACTGAAAACGAGTTGGCAAAAATCCTGATTTTTCAACAGGTGCAACGTCACCACAAATACAGAACCGCTGCGTATCGGACAGCCGTGTCGACTCTCACGTGCTGATCTGTATTCCCCAAGAGGCCCGTAATAGGAAAAACCCCTGGAAGGTGGTCGGCAGACCTGGGGGGTGAAGCATCACCTCCCCCGGCGCAGTGACAGCAGACCTTCCAGGTCAGCGACGGGCCTGAGGCGAGAGGGATGGTGGAGGGTGCTGGTGCCAAGCGCGTAGGAGCACAATCCGTGCACCGACTCACGCGGGCCGGCGCTGCCATCCAGAGGGCACCCCCAGAGCCCTGCTGAAAACCTCGTGCCCGAGGTGAGGACCGTATTAGAAGTGAGGCCTCTGGGAGGTGATCAGGTCATGAGGAAGGAGGCAAGAATGGGGTTAGTGCCCGATTAGAGCGGCCCCGCAGCTCCCTGCCCTTTCCACCCTCTGAGGTTACAGGGAGGTGGCGCTGTCTGCAACCCAGAAACGGCCTGGTTGGCACCCTGATCTCGGATTTCCAGCCACCAGACTGCGAGGAATAAACAAACGTCTGTTGTGAATGAGCTACCCAGTCTGTGGTGCGCTTGTCACAGCAGCCAGCACCGACTAAGACAGCCTGCTCGGGATCTGGGGCTCGGACCAGGAGCAGCTCCTAAGACCTCCCGATGGGTCAGGGGAGCGGACGCTGCACAAGCAGAGGCAGGAGGCAAGCTCCTGTCCCGAAACTGCCCGAGGACGAGGGCCTGCCGGCCGCAGACAAGTGACAGTGTCAACAAGCGGGAGCTGACAGTCACCCGGCCTCCCCGGGGCGGCTGGAGGGGCAGTGCAGTGGTGCGGCACAAAGGTCCTGCCTGTCTGATCGCCGAGACCGCAGATCCACCCCAAGCAAATACACTCTCTGATTTACGCACATGTGCGTGTGCATACGTGTTCCTAAAAGGGCAGGCGGCATCTTTCTGTTTTCTTTCTCATTCATGTTTCTAACCCTAGTATCAAAGCTGTCACTTACGGGACACTGACCAGGGCTGGATACCAAGTTTTGGTCTTGATTTTACCACTGTTGAGCCTGGGTTAACGTCCTGCTGCCTTTCTGTTGGATGCAAAATAACTTCTATCCGAGGGATGCCCACTTCCCCATGTTCAGATTATGCTAAATCTGAGGTAATTCTTTGAATTACTCTTCAAAGCAGTCGCCGTGTTTCTGGCTCACAAACAGCTCTGTGTTCCCAGTCTCTCTCCGGGAAGTTTTTCTCTGCAGGGTTGGGCCCCTGACAGCTGAGTAAACACTTTGCAAAGAGTTCACAACGGCTATGTACTCAAGTCTGATGAAACAGGCTGTGACAATATGGCAACAGCTCATATTCTGCTGGGTCTTTTTTTTTCAAATCACTGCATCATCAACCATGGTGTCTTGAAGACACACTGAGTTCATTTTTTTAGGTGACATTAAGGTTAACAAATAGATAAGCACGGAATGATTTTTTATTTCAACAGGAGTCTCCCCTTAAACACCGTCCTTGAGGTTTGCCTCCAGCTTCCAGTATCTGGGGTGAACAAGCACACCTGAGCCCACTCGCCCACAGACGGCTGCCAAGTCGTGTGCAAAACCACAGGCATGGCTGCTGGAGAAAACGGTGTGAAAAACTTCGCCCTAGCCACTCCTTGCCCTCAAAACAGAGTATCTGTTAGCTACTTGGCACAACTGACCCGAAGCTTCTGACCTGCAGCTTTACCTACCAATATGCTAGTCACTGATGAATTTAAACACTTCATGTCTAGTTCTCATAGAACGAAATTCATTATAATGAAACACTGCTTTGAGAACCTTGTTAACAAGTCAAATGCAGTTCAAGGACTAGCCTCACAGACTGTTTCCTGTTGGAGTCAATTTATCTGACAGTTTCATCAGTTGGGTTCACTAGATTCTGAAAAAAAAAAAAGGATAGCTTTTATTTTGTTCTCAGCTTGTAAATCCAACATTTCTGAACATACTTCCAGTCAACTGAATTGATTAAAATTGATTTCAACCTGACATCAATTTAAATAGCAAATGAATGAAAGAGAGCCCTTTCAACCCACGAATCATTCTGCAAAGAACACCTCTGGGTTGTTTTTAACAAAGGCTTTCGTCTGGAAAACAGAATTATTTATTTTTTATTACTGTATGTTTCACATTCAAATGGTGAGAGGGATTTTCCTGTTTCCATTCGAGAAAACATCTCTACAACTGGCTTGGCATGCTCCTCTTCAGTCTGCCTCTGCTCCAGTCTCTTAAACCATCAGGATTCTCTCACTTGTTTTTATTATTAGAAACCAACCAATATTCGCTTTTTAATATCTAAGATAACAAAGGTACAGGAATAGCATCTTCTCCTAGAGGCGACAGGAGCCTGAGAAGTTGACCTTGGGTCCCCTGTACTGGGCTGTGTGGGCAGGTGCTGGGGGGAGGGAGAGGGGGATGAGGGGAGGGGGAGGGGAAGAAGGGGTAGAGGGAGGGGGAGGGGAGGAGGCGGCGTGGGCAGGAGGGGGACGGAGGAGACAGCTGGCTGTTGTCATCACTGCCCTTACATGAATCTAGTTTGGTTTTATTCATTTTCTAGGACTTTGTTAGATATTTTTAGTCTACAGCGGTAATAACGTATTATTTCAGTCAAGCTTGTTTTGTGTATGAATCTTTCTGGTTCTGAGAAAAATGATTCACAGAAAAACAGCCTGAGGTTTGGGGAAGCAGAGGAGAAAACTGAGGACCTCAAGGTCCTCTCTGCCTCTGCCTGTGGCCCAGCGATTGGTTTTGGACTCATCTAGCTGAAACTTGGTATAAATTGGGATAAGGCAATAACACGTCCAAACTCTAACCTGAAAATTGGTATACTGACGTCAGAGGACAGATGGAAAATGCTAGGAGTGTTTTAAAACGTACTGGTGATGCTGCTGAGCCCTGGTGACCAGGGTGCAGAACGTGAAGAGGGCGAACGCCCAGCCCTGGACGGACCAGGACGCCAGCGCGTAGCCGCACCACTCCACCACCTCCCCGAAGTAGTTGGCTGCAGAGACGTACTCAAACAAGCCGCCTAGAAGAAAACAGAGACAGCAGGGTGTTGGCCACAGAACGATGCCGAACAAAACCCTGACTTCAGAGACACCGGTGAATACTTACTCGGAGAACGTGAAAGTCAACCGTGGGAAAATACAAGCTTCACAGAATTTCCATCAATGAAACACACCCAACATTACCAGTTTCACTATTTCATATCACAACGATGTGCCTGTGTCAATACCTACCTGTTCATCTGACTACTAGCTGCCATGGCTTTAACACACTCTAATGCATCACTTCACTAGTTAATGGGCCCAGCTGACATAACCTAAGTGAGGACAGGGAACATGGAACAAGTCAATGAACTAGTTTGGTAAAATGGACCTACATGGGCCCCTAGGCAAAAACTGAAGACAATACTAATTTCCAAGGCTCACTCATTCACTCACTCATCAAGGCTTCAGATTCATCAAATCTACATTACGGGGCAGACCCTGCTCTAAGCACGTGGGGTGCACCGTGGACGAGACCCCTCCCTCACATCTGGGCCATTACACCCCAGGGAGGGTGCAGAGGACTCAAGGCCAGAGCAGGGCAGGCCGGGAGGGGAAGTCGGGCTGGGCAGGAGGGAGGTCGGGGCGCCGGCAGTGGTCAGGCCGGAGAGCAGAGCCACACACTCCGAGGGTAACCACGACTGAAGTCACGTGAGGTTGACAGGGTTCTGGTCATCTGTAGCTGTTATTCCTGCGTGGTCTCCAGGAGGTTAAGCAGAAGGATTCCAAGCAGAGGGTGCTCCTGCACCCTCCTACTTCCCCTCCAGTTTTAATTTTACCCACTGAATTTTTTTTTTAAATTTTTAGACGCTCCATTGTTTTCCAGCTTACATCCACTTAGTTCTCTTTTTAGCACATTACTCCTTTACTCGTAAGTTCAATCCCTTTTAGCTTTTTTAACCATCGGAGTATTCACCTAATAACCTGTTTCTATGAACGCTAAGATCTGCGCTTGCTCTCATTCACGGTGCCGTTTCCTCGTGGGTCCCCAACTTTGGACTGTGGCCCTTACTCTGTGGTGTGTGGCCCGTTGGGCTCTCGGAGGCCTGCGTTGAAGGCAGGTTCCCTGGGGACCTGGGCTGTCACTGGCCACAGGTGGGAGCGCACCACCCCCAGGACCACATGGAGCATAATTTATGTCTGGACGTGTTTCAGACCAGGCGAGCAGCACAGATTTGGGCTACAAACCAGTGTGAGGGTCAGAAAGTGGCTCCAGGCTCTCCCAAGGGCACGCTGGGCTCTAACGCTCACTTAAGATTTTGCCCTCTGATGATAACTCCCTTTCTTGACACCGTTCTGATGCATTTAAAAATTTCACCCAATATTTTTAACTGTTTTCAGAGGGAGGGTCAAAGTATCCTGCCACAGATGAAGCACTGGACACCCCTTGTAAACTGTAAATTCCTACTCATACTTTCTTTCCAAATACAGATATAACTAGAGTTTCCTTTTTGCTTAATAACCATTCAGTTAGTCAGAATTGCTTCTCTTATCATTTTAATAAAACAATAATCCTGGTCATTGCTACTAATGATACTGATTCTCACTGAAAATGTGCAACAAATAAATACTTCAGCTATGAGAGCTGGCAAAACTGAAACAGCAAGGCATTCAGTGCAGTTTGAGGATAAATTCCTCATTTTCCGTACATACCCCTTGGTATTTTATATCCAGTCTCCCCTGGTTTCCTGAGGTTCCTTAGGACATGATCTGAGTGGATGTTTATCAGAAGGCCAGCCAACCACAAGACGAAACCTAAAGAAAATACATTCATTACTCAAGAGTGTTACGGCTAAATAAACCACCAGGTTCACAAACTGAACAGTAGGACTGGAATCCTTCCCATTACCGTCAGTGGTGTAACACATTAGCCGTAACTGGCAGGAAAAATCATCGTGACAAATAATGTCCTTTGCTCAGAAAGATGATTTATAACGCCGCTCCAGGCACGCTAGATAGCGCTTTGCTCTCCTAGTAATACTAACACATGATCTAATACATTCAAATGCTTCAACCAGGTGGCCACAGCCTTGTGTTTTCAGGATGACTAGCATGATTAGGAACGTGACTTGTGACTTTGGCCCAAGGCTCTCTTCTAGGACAAGGCATCACCGTCACCAGTGAGCCAGCCCATGGGACTTATCTGTCTTTCCCAAAGCCGTGTCTGAAGCCTGCCGCCTCTCTGCTGGGCAGACGAGGCGGTGAAGTCCCAGCACACAGCTGCCTTCAGGCCCCTTGGGGGGTGGTTCCGAGGAGCTAATCCCTGGTTCTCTTCTCTTCCTCCTCAGTCATCTCATCTGAACAGTTTAATGCATATCCATGGTGCCCCCCACCACGATTTCCTGCTCACTCGTCCATCGGTATTCCTGGGTCTGTCCATTTCAGCTCCCAAGAAAATCTTCTACTGCCGGCTGCCCGGCTCTTACTAGACATCCCATAGCATCTGAA